GGATCCATGATGGCGGACGAAATTTCGGAAAATCGAACGATTACCACCAAATTTGGTACATGGGGATTTTTGGGGTCGCTCATCATGTATCTTAGGTTTGATTTGCAAAATTTAAGATGGCGGATTCAATATGGCGAAATATTTTATCCGCCATACTGGATTTGTTATTTTTTAAACGACCACCGAAAACCTCCCTGATACCAGATTTGGTGGAAATCGATTGATTTTCCGAAACTTCGTCCGCCATCATGGATCCGCCATCTTGAATTTTGCAACTTTGACCTCGGATTCGTAATCAGCGACCTCAAAAACGCCCGTATACCAAGTTTGGTGTAAATCGGTTAATTTTTAAAAATTCAGTTACCAAATCGGTTTTCTGACCGCCATGTTGGATCCTAAATTTTAGATTTTTTCATCCAACCACACCAGCTTTTAAGAGGTGTCCCTCAGCCACAATTTGAGCTAAAAAATGACTGGTTGTGAATTTCCCTATCGTTCCAATCACTAGTTGCCAACCGAGTACATCACAATAATAATTTAGTAATAATCTAACTAATAACGCCAGTCAAACTTCGCGAGGACGATCTATCGCAGTTTATAACATGGACTGGTGAAAAGCCCAGCCTACAATATATCATTAATTTATGCCTCAATAAGACATGGTAGGGTAGGGAAGTTTTATTCAATGGAAAACTGTATTCCCTAAATCAAATGGCCCATTTATCATTCTCGTGTATTGGTTCGCAATTTCCAATGACCGCAACTGAACATACATCGCATTCGAACATGTTTGGTTAATGCACCATACCCATATAGGCTACATGAACATAATGACTTGGACAAATAGCGAATCGGGCTTAAAAGTGACTGGTCCAAAGTAGAGACCACCGGGACCGGTTTTGTATTAAAAGGGAATTATTTAGAGGAAATTAACTAGGTGTATGGAACGCATGCTATGAAATTAAATCAATCGCCTGAAGCCCTGGGACGAGAGTGGCAAAATCAAGCCAGAGAGATCAAAAATGGAAACTTAAACTAAAATCCGGTGTTCATACTTCCTAATAGGGATGAAACTTCAACGTTTTATCATTAGTTTTATCATTCTGTTTAGTATTTGTTAAGATTTGTCCAGAATTGCAGACGACAAATTTTGTCTGAAAAATGTATACCTCAAAACAAGAAAACATGTTTATACGAGGTCATTTCAGAAAATAATAGTACTTTATTTTTTTTAATTCTATTTTAACTAACAAAGCTAAGTGTGCAGACGCACTGTCATGGTGACATGGTTTTAACTATGGGCAAAAATTTCCTGAGTTGATAACACAAATGCATCATAAAGGGAGATACCGTCATTAAGAAGCCTAGAATTTCGGAACCACTGAGTATTTTGAAAATTAGATAAGGCTATTTAGGGGAACTACAAAGAGTGTATCTAAGAAAAAATATGACTTCCAATGTATTGGAAAGAAAAGTCAATCTTGAGTAACAATTTTTTTTAAATTTGAAATAACCCTTCGGACATAGTTGAATAAATCAAAAATAAAAAAAATAGAAATCGTTTGTTAAAAATATAGGTAATTTTAAATAAACCACCATCAGAATTTCGAAAAAATGTCCGCGTTAAAGATTTTTTGGAATTTTTATAATTACATTATATTTGAACTCTAAATTGTTTTGTGAACGTTTGAAATTAGTTTCGATTTATTCAACTATATCGAAGCTTATTTTAAATTGACTCATTCTTCGAATAAAAACAACAACCAGTAGTAAACGCGCTTATCCAATTTTCAAAATATTCAGTGATGTCGGGATTCTGGGGTTCTGGGAAAATATCTCCCACCATCTCCGTCGCTGGTTAACAGATCTCTGAGAAATTTCAATCCATTTCATAAATTCAATTTTTAGCAACTATCTCAAACGAAGCTTTCTACGACCTATGTTTATCTGAATTTTTTTTTTAATTTAGGATTTTCCGTCATCAAGTAAAGGCATGTGAAATTCGGAACACTCTATATAATTGTTGCATCTGTGACTGAGACGGTCCTGAATTGTTAAATAAAATATTGTACCACTTTCTAACTGATATACTTTGAATATTTTAGGAACCTTTGTAAATTATACAAAAATTTAATCAATTACTTATTGATACATAGTCCTCGAATTGACCCAATTAATATGAATATACACTTCTGCAAAAAATTAAGGGAGCAAAAAAATTTTTCGAATTATTAGTGATTTTTCAGAATGCTGTATCTCAGTTAAAAATGATGGTATCAAGGTTTTAAAAAAAGCATTTTAAAGCGCCGAATGTCTAGTTTCCAGATTTCTTAGTACAAAATTTTTAGGAGCGATAGTCATCGCGAAATTCTAAGAAATAAGACTAAAATTTTTTTTTCCATTTTTTGCGTTTCTTTTTCTCGGTCCACGGGCTTGGAAAAATTTTTTACACAAAAATCATGATATGGACTTGATAGCCTGTTAATTCAGCTTTAATTTCTTTTTTTAAATTTTTCTCTACGTTAATTTGACCCGGAGATATTCGACTACGAATACAAAAGCATCCTTTTGGCTTTAACCATCGATATCTCAGCAACTAATGATCAGACAGAAAATTGACGGGCAGTTTCGAAATCTCGAATAAATTTCCTACAAGGCTATGTAGCGTTCTTGGAAGAAAAAAATTTTCTTTCATCCTCGACATTAACTTGAAAAAAGTGAAAAAAAGTGACTTTTTGACTTGTTTTGCTAAGTCGACCGCATCTTTGCTAATATCGATGGAGAGTCTAATGCTTGTACGAATTTTTACACCTCGATGTACCCCCAAAAGCTCCGTAAATTGGCAGATCGATCTATCGAACGGTTTTTCCGGACCGCTTAATCAAAATTTCAGAAAAATTTAAAGGAGCAAAATTTACATTTCTGAGCACCCTGTATCGTTCGTAAAAATGAAAAATTTGATTTTTTTTTTCAATTCTTTCACAATATGCATTCGATCGCATTTTGAATTTTTTCTCGAAAACATTGCGTTTTACGAAAAAAGTTTCTAAATTTAATGGCTTTCTAGTGGACTGATAATGTTTAAGAAATTTAAATATGCGACCAATTTTTTTTGGCTCCAAAGACAAGGGGGCCCACGAAAAATTGTCTTAAGGGGGTTCCCCGCCAAAAAATGTAGCATCATCAGATTCCACATGTCATAAAACCCCTGTGTACCAAATTTAATGATTCTCGTGCAACGGGGTTCTGAGATATAAAAAAAAGATTATTCTTAGGGACGGACTTCAGGGGGCTGTAACTCCGAAAGAGGGGGCCACTTGGCAAAAATAAAAAATACGGGTCCCCTAAATTTGTCTTAAGAATCTGTGACAAAATTTTGTTGCATGAATTTCGAGACACCCTGTATTTCAATAAATGTTTTAATAAATAAAAAAAACTAAACCGACCAACCAAACTAAAAAAAAATTATGAAGTACCTGTGATAATCATATTATCTTTTACTTTACCACAATTTTGCAGACCTTTTTCAACAAATAAAAAGTTTTAACACACAAAAATGTTTCAACCTAAATGTCAAAAATATTATGGACCTTTGGGTAAAGAAAATGTAAAAATGCAAATGTATTGAAGAAAATTTTCGTCACAAGTCACAAGTTTTAAATGTTATCTATTAATAAAATTCAAGAGGAAAATGCTTCGGAAATTGTTCCGACAGAGTTGCTCAACAATCCGTGTTCGTTAAACAACTTACAGACTTAGAGCAGAACAAAAACATCACCTAAAAAGTAAACCCTCTCGATGCGTTCAAAGCAGCACAACCAAAAGTAATTAATAACGTTTTTAGAGGTGTTTCAAGGGTCCAAATTTGAAGTATCATCAGGTAACCTTTTTTCCAGACACTTTCACGCCAGCTACCTTACGGCTTATAAGCCAGCTATTAAGTTTATATATGAATTTCAGTATTTGCATTTGTAGCCAGAATTTGCTTTGCACGCTATGTACGTTTCGGCTTTAAGGACGAACCAGGACCGGCCTCACTTGACGCGCTTAAAGGCTTAAAACAAAAGCAAGTCTGGTCCAATCCACCTTATAGTTATAATAGTTTTAATAGTTATTAAAAACAAAATAAACTCAGACGTACTTATTTATGGAGAAAAGTATGTATTTAAAAAGTCTAGATCTTCATTTAAATATTTCGTGAAATCTAATCTACATACTTGTGATTGGACTAATAACTAATAAACGAATAATAAATATATGACAAACCAATATATCGTTTTCTATACATACATTTTTTTTTTTTGGAAATGAATAATAAAAGAGGTATAAAGAGCATAACCTCGTACCGAGGTATATCTCCTTTATTATCGATTTTCCGAAAAAGTTTTTACAAAAAGATATCCTTACTTTGTATGTAACTAACATTAATTTTGAAAATATCAAAAGACAATTTAGGGACACTGTATAAAGTGAAAAAAATTTGAAGCTTTTAAATGTACTTATCAACCTTGTGTTCAAAGAATTCATCGTTAAATCTCAAGTTAAGGAACATTCCTCATTTATTGGTATTGGCCTGATGCCAACAGAAATAAACATGCGGAAACGATACTTAGTGTATATTTTTTTGCGATTTCATTGATAGCGTTTTTTATAAATACGATTAATAAATTCATTTGCTTCATTCAAGATGTATACTTATAAAGGGAGCTCGTTTAAAAACGTGATCGTATACAGTTTAATAATAATAATCTAGGGAATATCTTAAAATTTCGACCAGACTGAAATTGAAATAATATTGTAATAAAATTTGTTCATCACGTCTATGTCTTGAAAAAACGGTAAATTGTTCTTAGGAATCGATAATAAAAGAAATATTAATTTGCACTTGTAGCTTCTTAAAAATTAATAAAATTAATTAAAAACTTCTAATAATTTCTTCTAGAAAACAATACACAAAATTTTCCTAGAAATTAAATCTTGTTTAATTTTAAGTAACTCACCTTGTACCTCAGTCATTGACCCTGAAAACAAAAGTATTTATATAGAGAAATCCAGTATTTAGCTCACGTTAATTAAATCTAATTTATTGGATAGCCAATTAAATATTTACAAATTAATCTAATGTTAAACAAAAATGGTATGGACAATTGCAATAAATGTATACTATTTTTCAGGCAATCAATTCTTTGTCTGACTTACTAGGTTCATTTTACACTCTTCCGAATATTTTTTTGTTACAGATATATTCATCAGTCTTTCCAAACGGTAACAGCAAGGTAAATTTGAGATTGGTCAAATAATTTTTAATTTGTCAAATCAAATCGAATAATACGGGTGGCTCAAATTAGGAAAAAGTTGTGCCTTTTCAGGGTCATTAAAATAAACCAAACAGATCAAAGATATCTGTTGTCGTCCCTGAAATGTTGTGAAAAACTGAAAATAGCGATTTTAGAAAAAGTCATCTAGCGTCCTTATTTCACGACAGAAAGAGCTGAAATTTGGTACTGGGCGATAAGAAGATGCGAGCAATCCATTTTCGCCAAAAGAAAATTTCTACAGCCACTAGTTTCAATTATGCAACATTCAATTGCTTTTTTTTATGGACGCCATATTGGATCTTGACAGTAACAGACAGAGGATAAAATTACGTAATATGTAACACTACTTTTATTTGAAGAATAAACAATAAAATTAAAAAAATTCAATAATTTATTTTAAAAAATAATAAAATTTAATTGTTTTTGACGTAAACCAAAAATCAACAAACATTTTGACAGATTCGAAATTTGCTAGCGCTTGCTGCCTTGTGTAAATTATTTTAATACTTATTTTAATAAAAATCAGGGTATCATCAATTATATCCAGAAAGACACCAGCCTCATCGAACGGTATTTTTAAAAGTGTATAGAAATATGGTAGAATTTGGAAGTGTGGAGAAACCGAGACGCAGGTATACTTTCTGTTTATTTGTTTCCAGAGATTATTTTTTTCAAATTCATTCAAAATATATGTACCATGATTATAAATCTAAACCAGTACAAAAATTACATCCATGAGACGGGCAACCAAGAATGGAATTTTTTAGATGGTTTCAGGGAAAAATAACAGGGAAAGATAGATTGTTCGGCAGGAAAATTATTTGAAGAGATCAAACTACGTTCACAAATAACGGCATTTTTAATAGAAAAAATAAGCATTATTATGCCATAGAAAATCCAAATTTGGTTCAAGAGACTAGCCACCAAATTAGATTTTCCCTTAACATTTGGTGTGGAACATTAAATGACAGTTCATAGGACAGTTCCTTATTGATGGTAACCTTACTTCTCAGAAGTATATATTTTAAGGATAGAAATGGAAGATGCACTGAATAATCTTTCCTTACATTACATTAGAAATTTAGAAATGTTTCAGCAAGATGGCGAAGGGCCTCATAATTATCTAAATAATTGAATTGGCACTCATAGACCTGTAGCTTGTTCGCCACAGTCTCCATGCCTCAACTTTTTTGATTTTTTTTTTCTGTGGAGTTATCTAAAAGGTAAAATTTATTACAGTCCCTGTGAAAATATAAAAGACTTACGCGAAAGAGTTTTTGCTTCTTTTAAGTCTATTTCACTACAAAGTATTCAAAACGCTGTAGGCAAAATTAGATTGAGGACTGATCTTTGTCTGCACGAGAATGGACGACACTTTGAAGTATTTATGTAGGATTTGTAGAATATTTCTGTATTTTCTTTTATTAAGTATTGATTATTGTTTTACGTCAAGAACAATTAGGTTTTATTAATTTTTTAAATAAACTATTGAATTTCTTTAATTTTGTAAGTTATTCTTCAAATAAAATAGCACTGTTACACATTGACGAGTTGGTAATTTGATTCTCTATCTGTTACTGTCAAATTACAATATGGCGTGCATAAGAAAAAACAAAACAATTGAATGTTGCATAACTAAAACTAAAAGGAAGTTTTCGAATAAATGACGATTGAATGTTAGAAAACCCAAATCAATTAAAATAAAGCAAAAACGCTATCAAATTTAGTTTTTCGAAATGCCTGAAGTTTTTTATGGATCACGTAGGCGTAAATCTTTAAAAAGTGTCACTGGCATATCGACTTTCTAAGTATTGTAAGCGATATAAAAATTATTGGTCCCTACAAAATTGAACTTGTGCAGGAACTCAATGAAGACGATCCCGACCGCCGCTTACACTTTTGTGAAATTATGATCGATTTATGTCAAGTAAATAGAGATTTACACCGGCAAATACTTTTTCCAGACAAGGCCACGTTTTGTCTCAATGGTACAGTGAACCGTCAAACTTGCAGGTATTGGAGTCGGGAAAACGCTCATTGGATGGCAGAGACACATACCCAACACCCACAGAAATTAAATGTGTGGGCTGGAATAGTTGACAACAGAATAGTAGGGCCCTTCTTCTTTGAAGGAGGAAGACATTTAGAGTTTTTACAAAATGACCTTGTTCCAGCGCTTGCAGTAATTTTTCATGATGATAATGACCATGATATTCCTGATGATACTACGGTTTCAGCAAGACGGTGCAGCACCTCTGCACTATACGCGCCCTGTTCGAGATTTTCTGGACAATTGTTTTCCTAGGAGGTGGATCGGCACACGAGGACCGATAGAATGGCCCGCGAGATCCCCATATTTACACCCCTGGACTATTTCTTATGGGGCTACTTAAAGTCCAAAGCGTACGTTAATAGACCACATAATTTAGAAGAACTCCAAAATTTTATTATAGATGAAATACACAAAGTTACCCCAGAAATAATTCATAATATGCAAGAAGAATGTCTACACAGACTTGCGTATTGTCAAGAAATCGGTGGGTGACAATTCGAACACTTAATTTAGGTAGGAAACTTAATGAATTGTATTTGCTTGACATAGGAATTGTTATTTTTTTAATGAATAAAATTTACGTTTCCTAACATTCAATCGTCATTTACTCGAAAACTTTCCTATGTAAGATGGCAACATTTTAATACTGTCGGATCGACAATGAAACGATCTTTCAGAATCAAGACAAAAATAGGGGGTTGCTATTTAAAAAGAATGTCGATGACGTCATTACTCGAAAACAAATGACTGTTGAAAATCGCCTTTCATGCTAAAATATGTATATTTTTTTAATTAAAAATCGACCTGTTCGAGGATTTTTCGTTTTTACTGAATTTATTCCGTACTTTAGGCGCGTACTGTATATGTGGAAGTTATCAATTCACAGGTACATTTTGAGATAGGCACCGCACTAGGAATATTCTGCATCATATTCGGTGTAGCTGACTAAGCTTCAACCTATTGTACCAATCAAATTTACGAGTATATACCTACCCGTTAGGTAAGATGTTGTCTTTGGCTTATAGCTATTACCGCAAACACTGTAACCTCGGCTAATTCCGGTTCTGGTAAGGACAACACAAGGATAGGAAAGGGTAAGGAAATGTGAAGGGTAGATCCTGCTTGAAGTAATTATTATGCACATCATTGCGTGCCGACTGGCCAGTCTCTTAGGAAGTTGTATAACGATACGTGCAACGGTTAGAAAGATAACTTATCGTGTCGAGACGTTTTTACTCGGCCGTTTTCTGCGATAACAAGTGCAATAAAAAAAAAAGAGAGAAACAGAGACGCCGCAATACCCATTTCTAAATGATTTACTTTAAAAATACTGCCACGGTGTTAATAAATTAGAGTTAAAGTGCTAACAAGACGAAAAAATCTGATTTTTTTTAATAGGACACGCAACTGTATGTTAATAAATTGTTTGCATTTGCATAGCTATTACGCCGCGGCTATCAGAAATTTACAATTTAGATTTGCAGACGTGAAATTAATAAACACTGTCTTGGGCCGGTAGATTCTACCAAAGCTTTTCTACCGCCATTGTCGCGAAAGGTTTGTTTAGTTTCTGTAAATCATCCAACCGTACACGTGTTTTAAAATGGAACGCTACTATTGGTCATTATGGTAAAATACATACAGACTACAAGCCCGTTGGAAATTTTCAAGGGGTCATTTGACCCAGCATGAATTACTTATAAATCAATACTACCACATATAACAATAACTATGCCGTCAATTCTTGTTGGTACAGGTGAGTACACAGGTAAGCTAAACCTATCCACCAAGGGGGGTGGTTTTCGGCAAAACATTTTTGTACGGCATTTCTAAAATTTACAAAAAAAAAGAACCTCGACCTAATGCAGTACAAAAATAGCAATACCGGAAGCCAGGAAAATATTTGATTTCCTGAAAATTTTGGGCCAGTTTTTGGTGTTTTACTAAAGTACGGCATTTATACTGCAAGTTTCGGATTGATACGTAGATAACTTTTTTAGTGACGCCGTACGTATCTGCTGATACAGGGGTTAGAAATGCAGGGCACAACCCTCCATTTTAGCCCCCATTGTTTCAAGTCATTGAAAAATGTACGGCATCGATTCCACATGATTATTTAACTCTCTAAATAATTCATAGCAACTATGCCGTCTGAAAATTATGGTTAATGCAAAAGTTTATAAACAATTACTTATATTTTGGAATTGAGTTTTATTTTTTTCGATAAGATCATTAGTTCCTGTACGGCAACCACTTTTTTGATAAAATATCACCAAACACTATCGTACTAAATCATGACCGGTTATAATTAATGGTACAAATTAAAAATTCGAGTTAAAAAACAAAGAACTATATTGTGAAAATTTACAATATTTTGAAAATTCCTTGTTATAAACTAAAAATGTTCAATTCAAAATATTATGGCTGTAATTGACTTTTCATAAGTAAAAAATAAAAAAACAATGCCGTAAATTTTTAACTAATGGATTTTACATAGCTGATAACGAGACTGATAATATTTTTCATTAAAGTTTTACTACATTTTTAGGTCATTAATAACTACACGGCATTTACAAATTTTCATCAGAAATATAACATAAAGAATGAAAATTGCAATGCCGTACATATCGTTGGAACAATTCTCCGAAAC